TGTGGGGGGCACAGGGGGAGCCTGGGGTGGCAGACAGGAACCCTGGGAGATCTGGGGCAGGTTGGTGTTTGGGGGAGTCCTGGGGAGGAGGGTGGGTGAAGCATCTGAGCATCTTGGTTATGAAGAAGCGACAAGGAGTCCGGTAGCACCTTATAGACTGACCGATGTATCGGAGCAGGAGCTTTCCTGGGCAAAGACCCATTTCCTCAGATCTTTGCCCAGGAAAGCTCCTGCTCCGATACATCGGTCAGTCTATGAGGTGCCACAGGACTCCTTGTCGCTTTTGCAGCTCCAGACTAACACGGCGACCCTTCTGATACTTGGTTATGAAAGTAACTGTGTTCATCTTGTAGGTCTGCAATACGCGGTCGGCAAAAATGATTTCCAAACAGGCATATCATAACGGGGTGGTGATAGTGAAGTGTCCTGGTTGCAAGAATCACCACGTCATAGCAGATAACCTGGGATGGTTTTCAGATTTGGAGGGGAAAAGGTCAGTGCCCATAACAGCAGCTCTTCCTGCTCACGATCATCAAAACGCAGCCCAACCCCATCTAGCCGGCACACCGGAGTTCTGTCTCTTACAGGCTGTGTAAGTGGTGGTTTAAATGCTGCAGGAGAGTTATTGCTGGGCTGATTCAGCTACTTTGTAAAGAATGGATGCCAACGGCTGAGTTTTCTGATGTGGTGCAGATGGGTGGTGTAAATCAGTGCTTCTCAACCAGTGGGACGGGTACTCGAGAAGTCTGGGGGGTACTTCAAAACAACTGCAATTTGGAGAAACCTGAATTTTTGTTCTAAGTTTTACAGCGCTTTATTATTTTTGTAATTTTTACACCCCAAAATTTTATTTCCCGCTCGGTTATACGATTAAGTTGTTTAAACAAATGTGTTGCAATGGAAGAAAAAAAAGTGTGTGTCTGAAAACTGTAGGTACTGGGGGAACTTATAATTGTTTTTTAAAAAAAGTGTGTGTGTGTGTATATATATATTTTAAAAGAGGTACTTTATAAAAAAGATTGAGAGACACTGGTGTAAATAATGGAATCGCCCAACCAAGACCAAGTATGTGAGATGTAGCGAACACAGCTAGATTAGAAGGTGCATGTTGCACAGATATCACTGTTGCTGGTTGCAGTTTTATTGCTGGATATGTTACTTTTTTGTTTTCCCTCAGGTCTTATTGAAACATTGCTAGTCTCTGGCTGGGAGGTTGAATTTCAAAGGCTTTGAACTCCTTTGAAAATCTACCTCTGTCTAACCGTAGCTGCCAAATTAGTGATCAGATTGAGATGTGGTTGTGTAATCTCATCTGCTCCGTAGGCCACTGGGACGAGCTCCGCTAGGGGAAATGTTACCTCCATCTTCCGAACTTGAATCCCCACTAATAGCGAAACCCGAATGCAGCGGAGCGCCCCTACGCCTCAGCTGCAAAGTTGCGCGGACGCTTTGGCAACATAACTAGTGGTTTTTAACTTGTCGTTCAGGAACATTGAGGAAATCCTGGCAGCCAAAGGGGAGAAAGTGAGACGTGTGGTTGGCGAGGACTCCTTGGAACTGCTCCTGGAGACGGCTGCGGAGACAGAAGAAGAAGGTGGAGGAAGATCCCCGGACTCTGGAGACAAGGGAGCAACCTGAGCAGAGCTCCCGCTGCCCTGCGTTGGGCAGAGACGGACTTTGCCATTTCTCTCCCCCTTTCAACTTTCTGGATTTTTTTTTTTAAATAAATTCAAGATCAGTGAATCCTTGTCCTGTGGTTTATTCCTGTCTTTGCCCCGGGCAGCTTCACCTTTGCCCAGTCACATGGAAGTTGTTTTTCACAGCTGGGATTGTCGTCGCTCTTGCACGTGCAAGTGATTTGAAAACTAGCCTCGTTTTTTAAATGACACTAGGGCTATGTCTACACTCGCGGCTTCTTGCGTGAGAAATATGCAAATGAGGCTAAGCGTGGAATATTGCCGAGCCTCATTTGCATACCAAATGAGCTGCCATGTTTGCAGAAGAGGCTCTTGTACCAGAAGGAGCTGTCTACACTGCCCCTTCTTGTGCAAGAAAAACCCTCTTGCACAAGGCCGCTACGCAGATTATTTTCAGGAATCACAGCCTTGCGCAAGAGGGTTTTTATTGCGCAAGAAGGGGCAGTGTAGACAGCTCCTGGCACAAGAGCCTCTTCTGCAAAAATGGCAGCTCATTAGGTATGCTAATGAGGCTCGGCGATATTCCACGCTTAGCCTCAGTTACATATTTCTCGCACAAGAAGCCACGAGTGTAGACATCGCTTAGGAGTCCTGCCTGGTTCTCTTGTTCCAAGCCTGGAACTGGTTGGTCTTTGTTAAGGTGTTTGGGTCCTGAGGAGCAAAGCACCGCCCACTGCATTAGTGCCTTTTAGCAGCATCGTGCTGTTCTCATCTGTTTTTCCGTTAAAAGCATTTGTGGAAAAGAGCCTGCAAAAGCACTTTTTGCAGAAAAGCGTCCATGGCCAATCTAGATGCGGTTTTGCACAAGAAAGCCCCGATCGCCATTTTCACCATCAGGGCTTTTTTGCCCAAAACGGTTCTCAGCTGTCTACACTGGCTCTCTTGTGCAAATGCTTTTTCCCGAACGGGAGAGTCATTGTATTTGCGGAAGAACACTGACAATCTTACATGAGATCATCAGTGTTCTTGCACAAATTCAAAGCGGCCGGTGTAGACAGCTGGCAAGTTTTTCCGCAAAAGCGGCTGCTTTTGTGGAAAAACTTGCCAGTCTAGACGCAGCCTGTTAGTCTAAACTAACAATGACTAAGGTGGCGAAGAGCTTCTGAGGCCTCAAAGCCAATAGGAATTGAATGCCTCTGAAAATCAAGCCATAAGTTAAGTTTTATTTAGTTATAGGCCAGGACTCCACCGTGGTAGCTTTTGTAAGCTCCACAACAATGTTGCTGTAGGGTCTTCCATGCTTTGTGTGTGCTGGATTGGATTTGACTGGCCTGTTCCAGAAACGCTCTAGGAAGAGATGTATCTATTTGCATGGCAGAGAAGTTAATTGGGCAAGAAAATCCACTATTGACAGAAGCAAATTGCAGAGAAGCCTGAATTGGTATTTCGATTGCTAGTGAATATATTGCTGTTCTCCCTTTGTTTTCCTGCCTCCTTATATCTAGGGCAAGGAACTTTTTTGGGGCAGGAGCTGCTGACCCACAGGAAAGTCAGTCGGGCTGCACACAAGTGAGAAGCAAAAAAACTCCAAACCGAAGCAACCCCTCACTGACCTGACCTCCAAGTGAGGAGGAGAAAGATCCTTCCCACATGGCACACCAGAGCCTAGGGGGGCTCAGGCCCCACAGGGGGGACAGCAGAGGGGCTGGAATAGCAGCACAGGCTCCCCAATAGGGGGGCTGGAGCCTGGGGACCCAGATCCAGGGGCTGCCCCTGGACCTTAGGTCCCCACCCCGCCTTATATGACAGTTCTGGGCACGTTGCAGTTTGAGGCACCAGCCATTTGCTTGGCCCCTGTGACGTTGAGTTGATGGTTTGGTTAGAAGGCAGCGCGGGGCCCCAATCGTGCCACGCAGGGGAGGGGGGGCGCACGA